TCGGGCCGGGGAGCCGCCAGCGATGCGCAGTGGGTGTTTTCACATGGACGCTCTCCCCTCTCTGGCCGGTCCCTGTGGCAGAGCGGACCGTCCCCTTCTCCAGCCACTACCCCAGCCGAAAGCCGACTGGAGACGCCAACCGCTCCTGCAGCTCTGAGGCTTTTACGGGGCCGGCAGATGGACCCTGCAGCCGGGGAAGCATACGGGGCCTCGGCCGGAGGTGTCTGCTCCGGTGGCAGTGGACGCACTCCAGGGGCTCCTCTGCACCTGCTGGGACAGTTTTAGAGGAAAATATGTTTGCGATGCTTCAACCTAAGAGACTCTGTCCTAAATTAGCAAAAGGAAACGTCAACATATGTTTAGGATCTCAGCTTGCATCGTTTCCGTGTGCTTCAAAGTTACAACAGCCAATGGAAAAACTTCTCCCAAAGGGAAGGCAAAGGCCACCGTCCCACAGAAACCCCGCTGCGCCCTTCACCCCCCGGTACTATTTTGCATGCAAAAAACCATGGGTCTGAAAACAGCCCAGTAAACAGGACAAAAGGCATCGCTTTCAACCCTCTTCCTTCCACCCGAGAGGGGTGGGCACGTTGGAAGGGAAACGTTATCCCGGGAACAGCTGTGCAAAGCAGAAGGGAGGAGGTCGGTGGCAGAGAGGTGGGCAATTTCTTGAGTCTCGCTATGGAGGGGTGCAGAAAGAGAGGGGAACCCTCGGTGTGAAGCCGCCATGGCGCTGAGCACATCACAGCGCAAACCCAGCAGAAGTGTCCCTCTCCCCAGCCTTAGTGTGTGATCCGAGGCACGGGGACGGTCTCGGAGGCGGCTGGGGAGACAGACCAACAAGTGGCAATGCACATGTGGCCTTGGGGATGTCCTCACGGAGACTGCACTGCCTGCAGGGAACTCTCCTGGGTGGGACAGGCAGCTTAGAGCTCCTTTCTCTGTCAGGGGAAGGAGCAGAGGCCCCAGAGGATGCGATGGAGAGCCCAGAACTGGAGAGGAAGTCCGGAAACTCAGCGCCGAAAGGCAGGGAAGGCGTCCTTCTGGTTCAGTGCAGCCCCACCCGTCAGTACGTCCAGAGATGCGTTGTAGCTGCTGGCCCGTGGCTGAGATATTCCCAAAAGGGCACCCAGGGATGGAGCATCCCCGAAGGAGAAGGGGTGAAATTCTTGTTGATGGCGAGACAGGAGAGATCCACACCCCTTGGGATGGCGCTGGTGGGAGAAGATGATCCCGGGTACCTCATGCAAAGTCTGGCTTCAGCTCAATCCGAAAGCTTTATAATGACCAAGGTGCTGTGAGGAAATAACCTGAGGTTACTGAGCACTCCCCCTAAGCCACAGGACATAGAATACACCGAGGGTGATATTCGGGTTACCCAATATCTCAGTACCATTTATGAAACAGCTGATGTGGGTAAATCATTTCTCTGCTCTTTGGAGAACAAAACAGTGCCGAAGCCTCGCTGGAAAACCACTCAGATGGGAAAGAACACAGTGGGGACCTGTGCTGAAGGTAATTGATGGGCAGACATGCAAGGTAGGGGCGACGTGCTGCTTCTCCGGGTGCTGCAGATGCCCGGGGCAGCGGTGACAGCAGAGAATGGTGAGACCCGCAGGCACAGAGCTCAGCTCCTCGGGGGGTCGGGGGGGGATACGGCGGGCAGTGCCGCCGAAAAAGCGCTTTCTGAGGTTGCAGCTCTACAAACGCAGCCCCTCGTCCTGCTTTGGAGGTAAAGACAAAACACACCTGCGGTCAGGAGGGGAGAACAAATAGCGGAATGCAGCACCGGAGATCGTGGTCCACGCGCCGCCAGCAGCCACAAGGGCAGCGTAAAGGGGAATTGTAGAGAGGAACTTAAACCAAGAGGACTGAGTCATGCACTTCCCTCGCTGTACTGAGCACCAGGATGCCTGTGACCACATGTGGCAGATCACCGCGTGGCCGCCCGCGCTGCTGCTGAGGGCCACCAGCAGGGAAAACGAGAAACGCGCTTTGTGCAGTTCCATTATAAAAGCAGCTGTTGTCACTGGATTAAGCTTTGATTAATGCCCCGGGTATCAATTACCGTTCCACATTCAGCATCTCAAATAGTTTTCGTGCGCGCCGGTCATTAAACACAAAGCCCAGGTGGCTTTTGAAAGCAGCCCTGGGAAGCGGCCGAGCACAGCCCCAGGGGGTGACCCACCTCCCCCAGGCTCGCCATCCCCCACAGCCCCTGCCCTTCTCCAGGGCAGCGTCCCCGCTTCGGGCCTCAGCTCCTTCCCAGCACCCTCCTTTGGTCACCACCTCCCTCCAAGCCACCGCCTCCCCGGGCACAGCAGGTTCAGGAGCTGCAATGGGGTGAAAA